TAGTTCCATGAGTATCCATGGTCCTATGATTGGGTAAATTTTGGGAAAACATGACTCTACCTAATGTTAAGCAGGATGTCATTACCATAGTTATGACATCGCTACAGGAGCAAGCAACAACTGATTAAAATTGCTGTAATGAGTTTTAATCAGAATGTCATTGACCCTGTCTGGTACAGCAGGTAATCCTAAGGTAGTTAGGATTGTAGTAGCTGCTATGTGTTAGCAGTAGTGAAGTTCCTGACAGGCAGTGTGAGGTGTGCAGCCACAACAGTGTGAGTTTTGGTGAGTGAGGTGTGTTGGCATGTATTTTAAGCAAGACATAGTTGCATGACAACAGAAGAAGCTGCGCAAGACATAGTTGCATGACAACAGAAGAAGCTGCTAGTGTATATCTCTTGACAGAATTGGTTTGGATTGATGAGACCATGTGGGAAATTACCTCATCAGTAAATATGTCAAGGAGATATATTAGGAACAAGTACATAGTGTATTGAGATTTATAAAAGGATCTTGGAGACCTTTTAGGAAACTTTAATATATTTGTTTCTAATGTTATTCTGCAGAAGATTAGGTGAAGCCAGGTCTGGTGTAAAGAAAAATCTGCAGAAGAGTGGATGTCATACTGAATGTCATGACATTGATCGTATGACATTAGTCGTGCAGGCATGTTGGTTTTCTGTTATCTCAGGCTAGATTTCAGGAGACTTGTTATGACCCCTGAGTTACCTCAGGAGAGATTCAAGGCAATGCTGACCATGCCATGACCTAATTGGACAGCACCTTGAACTGTGGAAATTAGTTTTATTTTGTTAAAACTAATATTTGTTACTTCTGCACAGTCCAAGCCCAGTCTGCAGTGCTATAAAAGGAGGCACAGAAGCAAGGGAAAAAATAAGCACTCACATCAAGAAAAACCAGAGTGTAAAATAGAGGTCTAGGGTTTGAGAGTCCCTTGTGTGTAAGTCACCCTTTGTATCTTTTGATATATTGTGGTAGACATATTTATAAGTGAAGAAGGCTAGTCTTCACATGTGAATTCTGTTTAGGAATACTTGTACTCCAAGCAATTGTCTGGTGGATGATTGCATTGGATAGGTAGATTCTAGGTTGTATCTCACTCAAAGCTGTGAAGCAAGAGTGTGTGAGTTCCTTGATCAAAGCTGTGAAGCAAGATCGAGGTGTGTATGAAGTGTCTCTTCATACTGTTTTGTAATTGTGAATTATAAATTACTGTTGTGTGATTGAGGGGGAGTGAGTGGGTATACTCAGGTACTAGAGTATCTCTAGGCTGAAATTGCATTGGGTAGAGATTAAGTGAGGAGTGTAAAATGGAGGTTTAACTCTAAATTAATTCTGCTAATAGTGGATTTCCTTCCTGGCTTGGTAGCCCCCAGATGTATGTGATGTTGCACCGAACTGGGTAAACAATTACTGGTGTTATTTATCTTTCTGCATTTACAATTCTGCACAAGTTAAATGGTTAGATAAATAGGGCTGTCAGCTTGCAGATGTCACAACAGACGTCATGACGTTGGTCATGACATTGGCACAATTTAAAGAAATTTAAATTGGTCATGGTCTGTCCTAGTCCTTGTTTCAGTAGAGATCAATGTTCTTGGGACATATGAAATCTGCATACCAGAATTTCAGACCCGATTCACATGTTATTTGATGTTGTTTTGTTATGTTTTATCCCTTTTATGTCTTGTTCTGTTTGCATTCCAAGTTTAAATCAATTATGGAGTAAATATGCGAAGAAATCAGAAAATGAGCAAAGGAGATGAAATAAATGCAGAAAAATCATGTTTCTGATACATGGCGTTCTCCATGTATCCAATCAACGTCATCAACAAATTAAGCTCATGGCGTTCACCATGAGCATAATTGCAGTCGCCATTAGCATGCAGTAATAGAATACATGAATTGGACCTTGACCCACTCTTGCCCACTTTCCCACTTTTTTCTCAACTTCCTCTACACGTGTGGGAAACGGTTTTGGAACCTAGGACCTTTATATAAGATTCATTTTACCTAGTTTTGAGCTATCCAAGCATTGTGCGAAAGCTCTGTCATTTTTTAGTCTTAAGCATACATTACTTTCAAAGTGACAATCACTCGCATTGAGAGATTGTCACACTTCTATTCTTAATTTTTGTACTCTTGAATTGCAAAGCCTGCCAGCATAATCAAGTTATTTCGTTCGTTGTTATTTCAAGTTCTCGCAATTTATTTCGAGTTTTACAGGTTTTTATTAGTATTGCTTTAATGATTTGTTATCGCATATTTTACTTTAATATCATGTTGTTTTTAGATTCCATTATCTTTTGTTTATGTTTAATACCATGTCTACCTAAACGTGTTTGAGTCCGGTATGTGAGATCCGTCGTTTCCGACGAGACTCGGTAATGAAGTTGGCATAAATTTTGCATAAAATTCTGTTTTGGCTTAAGTCTCCGTGTTTAACTCCAATAGTTTTGTCACGAAAGTGAAAAGCAAATTAAGGTTCGAGCCGATAGCGCGAGAGTGTGTGGATTGAATCAAATAGTGGAAACTGAAAATTGATCATAAATACAGCGAGAGCACTTTAGGTATCAGTTAGGACTTATTTAATTTTCAAAATATGCTTCTTAATTAGAATAGACGAGCGAGAGTAAAATCTCATGGTTAGAAGGTATATCTTCAATCAATAACGCGAGAGTAAGAGATATGGCTTTCAAACTAATATTTTCTACAAAACATATTTTAACCCTAAATTAATACCTACGAGTTACAGAGTCTCCGAAGTACACGAAATCCATGTTCTAACCTCTCTTTCTTAATATACTTTATAAATTATATATTTTTAAACTTTTAATTCAACTAATAAAAAATTTGTGCATATGCAAGCGTATGGGTTTGCCTGATCGATGCACATTTGTAATAAATATTCATCAACATATGCAATTCATAAATTATTCAAACAAAATTAAAATCTAATTTCAGCAATATATAAAAATAAAAATTATTGAAAATGTATTTCATTCACTAAAATTAACACAAACAAAGTTGTTTTACTCATTCCTCTTAAAATATTTTTAATTTGTTTCTAAGTGACACACTTTTTTTTCATATCTAGATCAATGATTAAAAAAAATAGATTATTAAATTATAACTAAAAAGCTAACCGGTTAGTTTTTAAACGAGAAAACATTTATAATTATCCCATTAATAATAATAATAATAATAATAATAATAATAATAATAATAATAATAATAATAATAATAATAATAATAATAATAATAATAATAATAATAATAATAATAATAATAATAATAATAATAATAATAATAATAATAATAATAATAATAATAATAATAATAATAATAATAATAATAATAATAATAATAATAATAATAATAATAATAATAATAATAATAATAATAATAATAATAATAATAATAATAATAATAATAATAATAATAATAATAATAATAATAATAATAATAATAATAATAATAATAATAATAATAATAATAATAATAATAATAATAATAATAATAATAATAATAATAATAATAATAATAATAATAATAATAATAATAATAATAATAATAATAATAATAATAATAATAATAATAATAATAATAATAATAATAATAATAATAATAATAATAATAATAATAATAATAATAATAATAATAATAATAATAATAATAATAATAATAATAATAATAATAATAATAATAATAATAATAATAATAATAATAATAATAATAATAATAATAATAATAATAATAATAATAATAATAATAATAATAATAATAATAATAATAATAATAATAATAATAATAATAATAATAATAATAATAATAATAATAATAATAATAATAATAATAATAATAATAATAATAATAATAATAATAATAATAATAATAATAATAATAATAATAATAATAATAATAATAATAATAATAATAATAATAATAATAATAATAATAATAATAATAATAATAATAATAATAATAATAATAATAATAATAATAATAATAATAATAATAATAATAATAATAATAATAATAATAATAATAATAATAATAATAATAATAATAATAATAATAATAATAATAATAATAATAATAATAATAATAATAATAATAATAATAATAATAATAATAATAATAATAATAATAATAATAATAATAATAATAATAATAATAATAATAATAATAATAATAATAATAATAATAATAATAATAATAATAATAATAATAATAATAATAATAATAATAATAATAATAATAATAATAATAATAATAATAATAATAATAATAATAATAATAATAATAATAATAATAATAATAATAATAATAATAATAATAATAATAATAATAATAATAATAATAATAATAATAATAATAATAATAATAATAATAATAATAATAATAATAATAATAATAATAATAATAATAATAATAATAATAATAATAATAATAATAATAATAATAATAATAATAATAATAATAATAATAATAATAATAATAATAATAATAATAATAATAATAATAATAATAATAATAATAATAATAATAATAATAATAATAATAATAATAATAATAATAATAATAATAATAATAATAATAATAATAATAATAATAATACATTTATGAAAAATATACTTAGTAAATGGTCAACAACATAACCCCTCCATGATCTGCAATTTTGTAGAAAATTGAAATCCAATATTAGAAGCACAAGTCAAAAGATCTATATTTAATCTCCTCTCTTATGCATATCCATTAACTTTGATGTAAATTCCCAACCCTTAATTTGTCTCTCTAATCTTGCACCACAATTTCCCCTAACTTTTCTCACAACTCTAACCATATAAAATGGTCATTCCCATTCAAACCAACTCACCACATTCATTCATAAGTTAGTATTTTCTCTAATATCATTTATTAGAGAAGTACTAGCAACACATAATAACAACAAACACAACAACAACACCAATTCAACAATGGCTTCTAAGATATTCGTTCTCGCACTCATCTTTGTAGCCGTTGTTGGTGTGACTATGGCTGCCGAAGCCCCGGCTTCATCACCTAAGTCATCATCAGCTCCATCTTCATCAAAAGGAAATGCAACCGTAGCACCTGTAGCAGCAACGCCAAAAGTCTCACCGGCTCCTCCCACCGTATCCGATTCTCCCGCTGCTTCCCCAGCTGATGACGATCAACCCATTGATTTTGGCGCTCCTGCGCCCGGCCCTGACAGTGAGTTTGCTGAAGACGAGCCCGCAGCTGCTGAAGAGGAGCCCTCAATCCCCGCCAATGGAGCTTCTTCTCTTAAAGTATCGGCTGCTGTTGCCGTTGTTGCAGCTGCCTTCTTTTTTTAAGATTTTGAGGAAATAAATGTGTTGTTGTAATATTGTTGCCCCTTGTGCTATGTTGTATTTGTGAAATATGACATCAAGACATTTATAATAAAGAATATTACTACATGTTTATTGTGGAACTCACAATTTATTTTGAGATAGATCTCTCTATGTTCTTTAGTGTTTTTTTCACCACTTCAAACCTCTCAAAATTCTAAAATGGATAAAAATGTCATCAAGATCTTAAAATTTGGAATGTGTTTTTAAATGTCCTGGTTCTATAATCGGAATCATCATGGAAATCTACAATTCAAATACATGAAACGTGTTAGGAATGTATAGTCTGAAGTGTGATCAGATATGGATAATTATAATTTAAATAAATATAAAATGTATGTAATTCATTAATCATATTCATTTTCATTAATCTTTTGCTAAAACTACATATCATTTTGGATTCATTTCTCTCCAAGGCTATATATGCCATAGCATATCCATAATTAATTATAATTAGTTTCTTATTAAAAAACCAAAAGCTCTGATAAACCACAAATGTTTCTTGAATAGATAACAAGAGAATAATACTATATAAAATAATATTATCTCCAATTATGACATCATCTTTAGCTCGATTGAGTTCATTATACGTAACACTTCGAAAAAGATATACACTCTCAATCAGGTGCGACAAGTTGAGGATGTGTTTTTCACGTTAAACGTGTATGAGATATATTGCAGTCTTTATTCATGTTCTTTGAAAAGTTATTATTGATACTATTTTTGCTTCGAGACGGTAAACCACACCAGCATTGTTGGAACTATAATAAATAATTATAGTAATAGAAATTGAAAAGTGAATTTGAAAATATTCATTTTAGTCCCACATTGGATGTTGGAATTATATTAATGGGAATTGGAAAGTGAATTTGAAAAGATTCATGTTAGTCCCACATTGGATGTTGGAATTATATTAATGGGAATTGGAAAGTGAATTTGACAAGATTCATTTTAGTCCCACATTGGAGGAATGGAAATATCAGCCTCACTAGCTAGCCTCACTAGCTACCTATAAATAAAGGGTAAAAATTCAGTAGTGAGCACTCCGGATTTCACAAATTCACACGAATTTTGATTTCCCTCTCTCTCCCTTAATTCTCTTCATCTAAACAATTTTCTTTTCTTGTTTTTTTCGACTGGCTATTACAGCCAGATACTGGACTGTCTATTTTCGCCAGATAATTTAGAAAGGTGTATTTCTAGAGCGATTTATCAGTGTGCAACTGATAATCGTAATTTTGAACGGGCTGTTTTATCCTGGAGGCGTCGTCGTAAATCGACTGCTTTGCATATTTTGGCAGTACGACGACTGCCATGGCAACTGAGGAAATTATCGATACTACTGCGGCCGCTTTGGTCTCTGATAAACCTTTCAGGTTTGAGGGTTCTAATTTCAAACGTTGGCAAGCTAAGATGAAATTTTTCTTAACTCTGAAAAAGGTTGCCCACGTTCTGACTGAGGATATCCCGGTTGTCCCTTCTGCATCATCTGAACTACCTAACGGTAACTCACTTGCAGATTCAGACGGGACTTCCAAAATGTCTGACTCAGATGCTGCAAAAGCTAAGGCTGCAGCAGATGATCTGCAGCTCCGAAAAGAAATCGCCTTATGGCACGAGAATGATTATCTGTGCAAAAATCACATTCTGAACAGCCTTGCTGATGATCTGTACGACTACTACAGTAGCTACAGAACTGCTAAACAGGTATGGGAGGCTCTGAAAAGGATATATGATACTGAAGAAGCAGGTGCGAAGAAATTTGCTGTCAGCCGCTACTTGAACTACAAGATGGTGGATGAGAAGTCGGTGGAAACTCAAAGCCACGAAATTCAGAAGATTGCTCATGAGATTATTATAGAAGGTATGCCCCTTAATGAACAATTTCAAATTGTTGTAATTATTGACAAACTGCCCCCTGGTTGGAAAGATTTCAAAAATATACTTCGTCACAAAACAAAAGAATTTTCAATCGAGAGTCTGATTACTCGCCTCCGAATTGAAGAGGAGGCTCGGAAACAAGATCAGAAAGAAGAAGTCTTAATTGTTTACGACAACAAAAAGAAGTTTGGTGCGGTTCTGAAGCCTACGGGCAAACCTTTAAAGAATCAGAACCGCTGTGCTATGAACCGAACTAAGAATGGGAATCCCTCTAGGGCCCCATCGGCTCCGTTTGCTAGGCAACAGCCACCACCTCAAAGAAATGATGCTCCGGTTTTCTCTTGCTAAAATTGTGGGAAACCGGGCCATATGGCAAAGAAAAGTAGGAGCAGGCCTAAACCTGCAGCTGGCTCAAATACACAGGTTAACCGATGAGCAACTAATTGCCATGATCACTGAAATCAACATGGTTGGTGGAAGTGACGGTTGGTGGATAGACACTGGCGCCACTCGTCATGTCTGCTATGATCGTGCTATGTTCAAGACATACATGAATACTGAAGATAAGAAAGTGTTGTTGGGAAATGCTCACACCACTAATGTTGCTGGAATTGGAGATGTTGAACTGAAGTTCATTTCAGGAAAGACTTTGATCTTGAAGGACGTCATGCATGTTCCTGAAATTAGGAAGAATCTTGTTTCTGGTTTTCTTCTGAATAAGGCTGGGTTCAGTCAAACTTTAGGGGCAGATTTATACACCATCACTAAGAATGGTATTTTTGTGGGAAAAGGGTACGCCACTGATGGCATGTTTAAGTTGAATGTTGATTTGAATAAAATTTCTCCTTCTGTTTACTTTTTGTGTGATTTTAATATTTGGCATGGTAGACTTTGTCACGTTAATAAACGAATCATTTCTAATGCAAGCAACATAGGCCTAATCCCTAAACTAAATATTAATGATTCCAATAAATGTGAATTTTGCAGTCAAGCTAAAATAACAAAGACTTCACATAAATCAATAATAAAAAAATCTGATCCCCTAGATCTTATACACTCTGATATATGTGAATTAGATGGAAGTTTAACTAGAAATAATAAACGTTATTTTATCACTTTTATTGACGATTTCTCTGATTATACTTATGTATATCTAATGAAGAATAAAAGTGAAGCGCTTGACATGTTTAAGGTGTATGTAACTGAAATTGAGAATCAATTTAACAAGAAGATTAAGAGACTTCACAGTGATAGGGGAACCGAATATGACTCTAGCTTGTTTAATGATTTTTATGTTGAACATGGTATTATACATGAAACGACTGCTCCATACTCTCCTGAAATGAATGGTAAAGCAGAAAGAAAGAATAGGACTCTTACTGAACTTGTAGTTGCAATCATGTTAAATTCTGGTGCTGCACCTCACTGGTGGGGGGAAATTTTATTGACTGTTTGCTATGTCCTGAATAAAGTTCCCAAGTCGAAAAGTAAGATCTCACCTTATGAGATATTAAAGAAAAGACAACCAAATTTGTCTTATTTGAGAACTTGGGGCTGCCTGGCTTATGTCAGAATTCCGGATCCGAAACGAGTTAAACTCGCTAGTAGAGCCTATGAATGCGTATTCATTGGGTATGCAGCAAACAGTAAGGCATACAGGTTTTATGACCTAAATGCCAGAGTAATCATAGAATTAAACGATGTTGAATTCTTTGAAGACAAATTTCCCTTCAAATCGAGAAATAGTGAGGGCACACAATCGAGTCACATTCCTGTGATAAAAAGCACTGAAAGCAACGACAATGTAGAAATAGAGCTTCGAAGAAGTAAAAGAGAAAGAGTTGATAAAGACTATGGGCCCGATTATGCGGCCTATAATGTAGAAGAAGATCCAATAAATCTTCAAGAAGCACTGTCATCTATGGATGCAGACTTATGGCAAGAAGCCATTAATGATGAGATAGATTCTCTAGAATCTAACAAGACCTGGCACTTAGTAAACTTACCTCCGGGTTGCAAACCAATTGGTTGTAAATGGGTTTTGAAAAAGAAACTAAAACCTGATGGAACGATTGAGAAATACAAGGCACGCCTTGTAGCCAAGGGTTTTAGACAAAGAGAAAATATAGATTTCTTCGACACCTTTTCTCCAGTCACTAGAATTACATCCATTAGGGTACTCATTTCAATAGCAGCCATTTATAACTTAATAGTACACCAAATGGATGTTAAAACAGCTTTTTTAAACGGTGACTTAGAAGAAGAAATCTACATGGAACAACCAGAAGGATTTGTAATCCAAGGACAAGAAAGCAAGGTCTGTAAGTTAGATAAGTCTCTGTATGGACTAAAACAAGCCCTTAAACAATGGCATGAAAAGTTTGATAACTTAATGATAATTAATGGGTACAAAGTGAATGAAAGTGACAATTGCGTCTATTACAAATCTGAGAATCGCATTTGTACTATCATATGTCTATATGTAGACGATCTACTTATATTTGGATCAAACATTCAGGCCATTAATGATATGAAATCATTGTTATGCAATAACTTTGATATGAAAGACCTCGGAGAAGCAAGCGTGATCTTGGGTATCAAGATCACGAGATCCGACCAAGGAATTTCTTTGGATCAATCTCACTATGTGGAGAAGATCTTAAAGAAATATAAATACTTTGATTGTAAACCTGCATGCACTCCGTATGATCCAAGTGTGAAACTGTTTAAGAACACTGGAGAAAGTGTCAAACAAGCAGAATATGCGAGCATCATTGGCAGTCTTAGGTATGCCACTAATTGTACTAGACCCGACATTGCATATGTCGTAGGATTGTTGTGCAGATTTACAAGTAGGCCGAGTAACGAACATTGGCAAGCTATTGAGCGAGTAATGAGGTACCTTAAAAGGACTATGGACCTCGGCCTACACTATCAGAAATTTCCTGCTGTACTAGAAGGGTATAGTGATGCAGATTGGAACACCTTATCGGATGACTCCAAAGCTACTAGTGGTTATATATTTAGTATAGCCGGAGGAGCTGTATCTTGGAAATCAAAGAAACAGACCATTCTGGCACAGT